AAGAACCCCGAACCAGTGAGAGGCCCAGCTGCTGCAGAGGCAGGGATAGCACCCTTTTCCCAGCCCCTGCCCAGCTGTAGGATCCAGGAGAGCATCCCACAGGGATCACACTAGTGTGGATGGATGCAGCTCTTCCTGTAACTCACAGCAGCCACCCTCACCATAGGGGTCAGGTTTGGACCTCCAGGCAAGGTGCTCCCCATTTCCAAGATGGGTGATCACATCATCCAAGGAGGATGATCATGTCAGACACCAGGTCTGACATGGTCTGGTAAAAAGAACCATTTTTTCCCCCCAACAGCTGACATTGAATCATAGAATTTTTAGGGGCTGGAATAGACCTTACAAAAATCATCTAGTCCCAACCCCTGCCACAGGCAGGGACACCTCTCCACTAGACTGGGTTGCTCAAAGCTTCATCCAGCCTTGAACACTGCCAGGGCTGGGGCATCTACTACCTCCCTGGACAAACAGTTCCAGTGTCTCACCACCCTCACAGGAAAAAATGTTTTCCTAATATCTAGCCTAAACTTCCCCTCCTTCAATTTGCATCTGTTACCCCTTGTCCTATCAGTGCAGTTCCTAACATGTATCCCAACACCTGTCTGTTAAAGTTACCTCAGCAGATCTGCCAAACCAGGAGGCCCAAGCCCCTCCAGTCCTCAGGCATGTCTTGCCACACACAGGACAGAGCACCGCTCTCCCCTATCCAGTGCTGGGCAGGCAGTACACACACCATGCCGCCAGCCAGGCCAGGCAGTCTAGAGCCACCTGCCACTCACAATCCCTCCAAACAAAACCCGTTTTTCAACCCCTAATTCCTGCACCGGCTGCAGGAGCACCAATCCTGGGCACCCCGGCACAGAGCAGAAGCCAGGGCTGCACGATACCACAAGCAAAGGAAAGCACAGTGTTGTTGTTGAGGCTGCAGCCCTTCCAGCTACCAATACACATCCCAGCAAGGCAGCAAGAAGCCAGTGAGGGTTTGTAGCAGGAGGTCAGGCTCGTCAAGAGGAAATGCAGACACAGCACTGCAAACCATGAATTTGTGAATTAAGTGAAATTCATAGACCAGGCAGATGAAAAGCCTTGACTCTGTATCAGTATTTCCAAGCAATAGAGCTGCTGCAATGTGAGACCATGTGGCAGAGCTGGAGACCATCATCCTGTGACTGGAAGTGCTATAGTCTCAGTTCACCACAGACATCCTGTGTGAAACTCATCTTGCCCAATTCCACTGGTTCATTTAATGATCAGAAAGTAATTTTCTGGTAGCTCATCCTGCAAGTACACTGCTACTTAGCATGGATGACGCCGACAGACACGAGTCCTCAGAGCTGGTGAGAGGTTTACTTCATTAAGATCTACAAGTATCTCCAAGACCACAGGCCACGTAAAGGACACATTTCCAAACTGTGAGCCTGTGGTCTTCCCAGAGCTCATGCCAAAAGCCAGAGGTGGCCACCCCTCAGGTTCTAAAACTGTCCCTCTTGCAGACACACCAGCTTTTCACAAGGACTCTGCCTCCTGGGAGAGATGCAGCCCTGAACCTCTGCAGTTTGCATTTGTTCCAGTAAGGACAACGTCACTGATACAGTAAGAAGCTACTTACTGCTCTGCGTGTATGATCGCTGAGTCTAATACCAAGATGATTAGAGCAATCAAGTGGAGCTTCTTGAGGAGGGGATGAAAACTGTCTCCCATCACTAAGGATTAAGAGTAGATCAGATGCAAAAATGGAGCAGTTGCACATTTCACTTGCTCAGCCTGAACCAACTACCAATGCAAGCGGATTCCAAACCATCTTCTCACAGGCACAAGTTTCCCTCCTCACTCCCGATCAGCACTACCTGGTCCTTTGCAGAATGACACATACCCAGTAGCACAAGTCAATTAAAAAAGCTGTACCACTATTTAAGGAACAGGTCTTCCCTCACATTCCTACTCTGACCCAGAAATTACCATCACAACTTTAGCAACACACTACCACTTTGTGGCAAACAAACCTGCTTCTGACCTTCATTTCTCACCTGAGCTGTGTTTGCCCTAATAAGGACCAGGTAGTCATCAAACTACCCTCTGATCCCAGAGGTCTCAGGCTTAGCCAGCAAGAGCTAGTTAGTCACAGGGGACACCAGGTCCTTCTGCCCTTGAAGAAATTAATCACAGCAATGGGGACTTGGCTTCTGGGCAGTGCTGGAGAAGTAAAACTCTTACAAGCACCCTCCAGTGATCACCAACATCAAATGAATTAACCAAGCAGATTTCAAAACATTTTTGCTCCTACCCAGCTTCCGTAAATGCCACAGAGGGTCAGCCCAGTGCATTGGTACTGAGGAAGAAGCCATGGGCACTCCCACAGGCAGCATGATGGCAGACTGGATCCACTGGCACATCTCTCACCACATACCCATAGTGACTGAAAGTATCACCAGTAAAAGCTAAATGCTTTGGAACTGGGAAGTAGGGGATGGAAATCAAGTCTAGCACATGCTTTGCCATCTCTTAACACCAAACAGATCCGCAGGCCAACTAGACTAGAGTAAGTTGGTCATGCTGCTTGAAATGAGAAGTCATATCCTCTCCCTGCCCCTTCATTTCTACCTCAAGTGCTGTGCAAGTACAAGATGAACCACACCAAGAATTGCAAACAAACCCAGCAGAACCAGACTGTTCTTTATGCAGATCTGCTCCCCCATCCAAACAAAGGCTGGTTCCAGAACAAGGAGAGCAGAATGGAAAGAGATCGCCCCTTTCCCACTTGCACCGAACTAAACATTGCAGAAGAGAGATGAAAGGCCTTTCCCACCTGCATCTTATTTGACAAGCACCTTCACAAGACAGCCCTTGCTCAGTATGCTTTCAACTTCTCTGGGCACAGTTTCCTTCCCACCCCACGTAAAGAACAGGGATACACATCACTGACAACCTGGCCCGTGACACCACCAGCCCAACCATGTCACCCCAGCGGGGTACAAATCAATGCAACTTCAGTGGTCAGCTCAGATGAATGCTGCTTGCTGGGAGGTGTGAGTCAAGCTCAAAGTCTGCCAAAGCAGACAGCATTAAAGACACTGTGACCAGTAATGCAGCCCAGGAGTGAGAAGCCTTGGAACAGCAGCAGACAATTTATTTGCTAGCTGAAGGAAAAAGACTTGGGGCAGGCTGAGCCGTTTGGAGCTTGTACTGAGGAACGTACAAGACAAAAGCGTTTGGAATCTTTCCGTGTACTGGAAATAAAATGTCTGAGCTTCAAATCCCTTGTTACTTTCCAGGAGCAAGGCTCTGTTTTAAGAA